CACTTCGCTGATCAGGGTCCGAACGGTCTCGGCCGCTTGTGTCTTGGAAATGAGGGGTCCAGGTCCGTCGTTTGGATTGTTATTTCCCTAAAACCCATGTAAGCTTGTGAAGTGTGGCCTGGTGTGCTGAGGTGCCGTGATATGCACTCCGCCATCAGCATGGAGCGGAGACGAACTGTGGAGACACATCCACCGTTCAATGTTGTGAATATGCCTGGTGGAGTGATGTGCGAATTTGCAAACCTTGAACGTTGCGCTTTGCTAATAGAATTTGTTATCGGTGCGAACCAAAGATTGGCGATACAAGAGGTACATTGAGGTACTTCGAGATACTAGGTGGGTCGGCATCCCTCACGCCAGCCTGCCCCAGCACACCTGGGCATCTTGTGCAACACAGGCTACGCGCGGGTTAGCCTCTGATGACATATATTGCCACTTGGTGTTGAGATCGAGAAAATTCAGCGGTGGACAACACGAAGCTGACTGGATGTTTTGCAAATCAGTCAGTGAAATTGAAGGTTGTGCAATCGTGGGCACAGCAGCATCAGCATCTGAGTGCAACTTAGTAATCGAGGCATGTGATTTGGCGGCAGACGCTCGGGCCTATGACGAAGTTCGCGATGCCGAACTTCACGAACTGCCAAACGTCGGTCAGGTCGTCGCGTCAACCATTGCACAAGATCTTGTAAGCATGTTACTCCCGTAGCACACAAATAATGCGACACATCAGAGGCAATAGCTGACATTCGTTTCATAGCCCCTCATACCGCAACAATGGCACCATCCAGGGCTATTCTTCTTCGCCGCATAGCCTCCGCAGCCACAGCGCCATGCTTACGACCGACTTCGCGTCTCCTCACAACATCTACCTCTGCACTATGTAGAACACAACAGTCGTCAGTCTTGCGATCGAGCCTATCACGACAGTCACATTTGCCCACGCTATGCACGCGATCATATTCGCAGTCAGCCAGCGCGGCGCCTGAAGCACCGGATTACCTCAACGAGGCAGAATTACACGTCTTCAACAAGATCAAAGCGGAATTGGAGCCCGTGAAGCTGGAGGTATGTAATGCTTCCCCGCTTTCTCGCTTGGAGATGCGTATGTGCGGAGTCAGGAGTGCTATGCGTTGACCACACCGATCGCACGACCGACTACTGCACCGCGAGCATGCACGTCATATCAGTATTGCGGGGTATATTGCAAGTCTGGATGCACATTAGATGTCGAAGCATTAGCAACACGTCTGCAGAATATGAGTGTGCTTCAGTTAGTGTTTGAACGATTGCTGACATGTAGGGCACAGGTACAAGATATCAGCGGCGGCTGCGGGTCCATGTATGCCATCCAGATCGAGTCCCCCAAGTTCAAAGGCTTGACGGTCATCAAGCAACACAAGATGGTCAATGAAGTGCTGAAAGACGAAATCAAGAGCTGGCATGGTGTACAGCTTAGGACGAAGGCTGCTTGATCGCGGCTCGAATACGAATTGTATATATGCTGTACGACTAATGTATAGTTGATAGTTATGAGACAGAGCTTCATGAACATTGTGTCGGACGCCTTGGTTGTGACTCGTTAGTCACTTGATAGTCTATCGCAGCTGCCTTGCTTCGCATGCTGCGATCCAGGCCGAAGTAAACGACTACTTTGGGAACCGAGGGCACGTTCAATTACGATTTTGAACACCAAAAGCTAAAATCAACGAGGGAGTAGCCAAGCTTGTCGAGCTAGGGGTTCAGCGAAGGCAGACATGGCAGCGGAAAATGCCGTAGCTCCTAAGCTCTTGTTGTAGGTCATGATATCAGACAAAAGCGCCAATAACCTTCGACTCTGATTGAACCTAGATACCAAGTACAATGAAAGCCTGAAAACCATACGCACTGTCCTCTTTTTCCTGGAAACTATTCATCGTCGTCGGTATCATAGCTGTTGCTGATCTCTAATACGTCTCCATCTGCTCAAAGATCAGAATATTGGCTAGATTAGTGGTACGCGGTAGCGCCCGTCCATGAACTTACAAGTCTCGATCTCTCCCGACCAATTGCACATAACCAACCGGCAACCAGCGTAGTCTGACACCTCAGCGTCAGGAAATCTCGCTCTAAGTTGGCCTGGTACATCGACACTGCGATCGGGGTAGTTCACACGATTATTACTCGCATCGACCCCTTCATCATGTCTCTCAAATCCAAACAGCCGGATGGTTCTCAAATCCGGGCAAGCCTCAGAGTCGAGTAACTCAGGAAGCATTATTTTGATAAAACGATCGTAAGAAGGGCCATTCGCACATTCTCTCATATACGACTGCGGAGGTAGATGTATGAAATCAGTGTATGTTTCACATGCGTCAATACGTCACAAACTGACCTTGTTACTGTTGCTATCCCCCGTGTTCTCTTCTGCGACGGGTCGTTGATCGAGGATAAGGTGTTGCAGCGTCTTTCGTGTTGCTCTAAACAGAGCGCTCCACTCCCTAAGAATTCGTTCGTCGGAGGGCGTAGAATAGTACATCATCCTTTGCTCGTACTCGGTACCAACTCCAGGCTTGCAAAGATGTAGTGTCTTGAGACTTGCCAGTCTCGATATGCTTTCAGGAACCAGGCATGCAAGAGCACGAGCGGTAACGTATTCTTGACCCTCCAAGTCCACCTCTACGACTTTCGTACGCCCTTCTTCCGTCATCTCTTCTAGATAATCAAATATCTGATCCTCTGGTACAGCATTCTCGGAATCCGACCAGCCTATTGGACGGTCCAAGACGGCCAAATGAAGTTCCTCGATCCGATCAGGTTCCGTGAGAAGCCATCTGACAAATTCCTCGGGGAAATAACCTCGCAATTTGAGCGTCTTCAAATTTTGCAATCCCGGCAGCTGTACCTTGGATTCATCCAAGCCTGAATTTGGTTTCCAATAACACGAGATCTCTAGATGCTCCAAATTCACAAAATGTGCAAAGCTTCGGGCCATGCTATTGGATGCGGCGAAATGCGTCGGCAAACAGAGCCACCGCACCAACGCGCCTAGTTCTTTCTTCCTCTCTTCGACCAGCCTTTTCCCTGGTGTTTCACCACTCGAGAATACATTGAGAAACTTCTCGCCTTGGATGAGCGCCTTCTGAGCTGGCTGGTATAGTGATTTGATTTGAGGACCGGTATCATAAGGTGGTGTCACGCGACTTGTAGCTTCTTCGATTCGGAGTGCGTTATGTGCGGTTTGCGTATGAAAGCCCGGGCGGTGCATCTCAATGATGGTCCAGAGAAGGGGTTGTACAGCAGAGTGGTAGGCTTTGGAGACGCGGACCATTGCACACAGGTCTCTACTACAGAGGTGTTCCGTTATACATGCGAAGACATCAGTCGACACTTGTTCCATTGGGAACGGCATTCTTGCGTGGTAGCGGTGAGGGGCCTTAGAAGTCAAGGGATATCACCCAGTTGCCCAGCTCAGTAATAGGAATAGGAAGCAAATAAGGGTGGTGCAAGGAAGGCAAAGAAGTCAATGTCTTAAAGTAAAGTACGACAACACTACATCAGTGGAAAGCTTTGCGCGGTAGAGATTGCTGTGAAGCTACCTAGGTACCACGCCACATGTACTACCACGCCGCATCAACGTCAACAAGAGCGTCAATCGGAGTGCATACAGGGACTAGCGCTTATGCCGAGCCATGTATAGGATCTCGTTCCTGTCCAGGACAATACGCTAGGCCAGATGTGGCGTAGACCTGGTTGTCTGGTTGTGGAGTCGGCATTGCGGTCAACACATCAATGGAGGACATAGTGATTGAGAAACCGATATTGAATACAGAGGAGTGCTCATAAATTCGTAATGTAAGACGTAAAAAAATGGCCGTAGTGTTCGTACTGATCTGGTGTTCCCCGCGCGTACGATCCGCTGAAACATTGACAATATGTTCTTTTCAACTTCAAGATCTTGCACATACGACCACAGGATCTTGAGAGCAAGGCTTCCCGTTCGCTCAGCCATATTTAAGCAAGATACCGGCGGATTAGTACTCGGGTGGGTGACCACCGGGGAATCCCCGCTGTTGTATGTTTTTGAAGTTTTGAGGGATCTTTTTTTGCATGTGGGGCGGCCGGCGCATGCATGTTTTTGACTTTTTTGCTCTTTTTTCTAACTAGCCAATTGTTATTAGTCTGGTCTTATCGTGCCTAGATCGAGATAAACTGCCTATTTACGTACTATATGTTAGACAAGAACGAAGTCTCAATACCTGGGAGTGCTACCTTTTGCGCACAGCACTGGCTCACTACCTATCAACCTATGGATGTAGCTTTCAACAATGAACTATTTCTCTTGAATATCTTGAATAGTTTGGTCCAGCTCTTAAGCATAGGGCTTGAGCACCAAAGGAGCGTTTCTTGTAGAAATGCTTTTGAACATTGCCCATTTTCTCCTCGTGTTCGCGTTCATCCCTTCCAACTTGATCAAGCAAGGATCGTAGGCCATCGTAGTGTTGAATGTCGACGAGTTCGAATCGAACAAGGAGGGCGACCTATATTCCAGGCATCTGTCAATCGCTGGAGCCGCACGGAAACTGCTTGAACTTACCGTGATGAATCTAGGCAGCAGCAGGAGACAGTAGGGCAAGCAATAACAGGGGAACGATCTGACCGAATCCCATTTATGTGTCAATATCAAAGGGACATCGCGTGATGAGCCAGCCGACGCCGGAAAGCGCTCCAGGGCTGTAATGCTGCAAGGCTGATGTAGATGGAGTGGTGACACGTTCTTAGCGCGTTCGGCAGCGCGCGCTGGGCGTGCTCCGCGAACCGGTTCGTCGGGCTTACTTGGCCCCTGATTCCCCCGACTCATCACAACTGCATTCCTCCAGACGTAATAATCACTGACTCATGCTGCTATCCAAGTGTACTGCGCAATGTAATGGCATTTTTAATGACGATAAAGCGTGTGTATATATCTACAAGAATTCAAGCCATCAGGCTTTTTGACCCCCCTACTTTGCAAGCGCAATCCTTCAAGCGCTCTCAACGGTGATGCTAGCAGATCCAGAGCTCTGGTAGCCCTCAGTAGCGAGGATCATGTAGTAGTGCGTACCAAGCTTCTGTCCGTACTTGGCCCAGGCATCGAAGTGGTTCTTGACAGTGATGGTACCACCGACGCGCTTGCTAGTCCTGACAGACCAGTACTGCTGGAAAGTAGCAGTGCCGTCAATGGAAGGCTGGTTGGTGCGGGTGGTCTGGAGGATGTCGTATGTGCCACCGTCAGAGGTGACGGAACCCTTCTTCTGAGCAGCAGAAGAGGGGTTGTAAGAGCCGTAGGTCTCGACGATGTAGTACTCGACGAGCGGGTTGCGAGTCCATCCGTAAAGAGAGACGTAGGAGTTTACGTTGGCAGCGTTCCAGGTACCAGAGTACTTGACCACCTTGTCAGGCGAGCCGGGGTTCCTAACGAAGAGAGTTAGTAGAGTGGAGAGCGTGGGTTCTGAGGGTGCCTTACCATCCCTTGCCAGCAACGAAGTTACCAACGTTGGACCACTGGACATCGTACTTTCCGGCAGCGCCGTTGTTGTAGGTGACCTGGCCTTGGTTGTCGGTCCAGAATGAGTAGAAGTAGCCGTTGTTGGTGCCTTCGCCTGGCTGGGTGGCGCGAGCAGTCAAGTTGGCAGACTCTTCCTGAGCACGAGCATCGAGGATGAGGCCGAGGGGCGAGGCGAGAGCCGCAGTGGCGCTACCGAGAGCGAGAATGATAGAAGAGAAGGCAACCATTGTGTTGATTCAAGTTGGAGATGCTTGGTGTCCTTCTTTCGAGGACAGTTGGGACTCTTATATACCAGTGGATGCGTTGTACCGTGCTGATCATTACCAGGGACCGCCAGTGAACTGCGGCTGCGGATCGAGGGAGCCTTACAAATTGGAGGGCACCTGCCGGGCAGGCGCACCTGGCGTATACCAGCCGTAGTAACTGTGGAGTGCATGGGAGCATGTCTACGTCCCGTCGCCGTGTGTGGAGCCGTGTCCTAAAAACAAGATCGAACCACCGGGTATTCAGGGTCTGAACGTAATGGTTGGACAGCTGTAGAGGCGTAGTTTTGAAACTCGAAACATTCATTTCCGCTGGAGATGCGTTCTGTGTGGACCTGTCATGCTATAGGCCCGATGTACTGTGGTGCGACAAGAGTGGAGCGGAAAACGTCTTGGCCAGTCGAGAAACATGCTGACCCGCTGCGTTCTGGATTGATCCTCCGTATCTTCGAAAACCATCTTATCGTCGCATTGCTGTACCTGAAAGTGTGCATGTTGATTTGCACAAGCTTTTGCATCCTGATTAAGCTCAGTCAAGCACCGCGCCAACCCACGATGCATGCAGTCAAGCCACTTTATTTCCGCATCATCAAATTATTTGCATTTTATCCAGCTGGGCATGCGACATGCTCAGATGACCATAGGTGATATATTCACCGATGGTGTTGGCAAAAGCATTTGGTCTGGGACCAAGCATTTAGCCGGTCACTTAGCATTGTCAGCGCATTTGTAGCGAAGATCGTCGTGCTTAACTGTCTCAGCCCGGTTGCTTCGTCATGGATACATTGCGCCAAGATCTTTCCAAGATTCTTGGAAGCCGGAGATTAACATTTTGAAAGTACGGTGACATGATGCCAAGAAGTGAGGCAACGATGTAGTACGATTGATATTAATCTGGTGCCGGGACCGATATTCATTGATGGGTATGCCGGTTGACAGATGGGACTACACAATGTGCTCCCTTGGGTATCTCGAAATGAAGAAAGTATGACGAAGGAAGATGCCGGCTATTGAGGTCCGCATCCAGATCAACGTCGGTCGTTCCACAGTCGATCGATAACCTGGAAAACCGCCGTGATCAACTTCATAGTCTCGGAGTCAATATGCTGTCCAAATCGCTGCTGCATCTTGTCGGGATGCCAGCGCACGCGCTCCGCCTTCAGTAGTGACGCAGGGTCCTCCTTCCACGTCTTTGTAGTCCGGAAAAAGCGCTCTATTTCCTCCTTGGAGACGTGATTTGCTCTGCCAGACACTACGGGCCATGGGATCATCTCTCGGACCTTCGCATCTGTCTCCTTATCCAGACCTTGGGCATTCTTCAGGCTGTCCCATCTGGCCGTGTAACTTTCCCATGCAGCCTCTGCCTCCTTCGCTTTCTTCCGCTCCTCGCCCCGACGCAGGCTCTCTTCCATGCGGCGTCGCATGCTCTCTCGTTCTGCTTCCTCCCGCTCGAGTTCCTCATCAAGCTGGCTGCGTTGCGCTTTTCGTTTTTGACGCGCCCGCTCTTTTGCCTCGCGTTCTTCCACAATGTGCTGGTGGCTCTTCTCCCACATCTTCGTACGCACAAAGTCCGCATACTCCTCTTCCGTCATACGCTCCAGCTTTCCATCGGGGCCGGATTTTGTGTCGGGATATATGTGTACGGGCTGGCCATATACACCTTCCCAGTACGCCGCACCTTCATCGTCGGCAAGCGCATCGAACAGCGACTCGCGGAAAGCGTCATCGGGAGCTGGGCCTGGAGAGCCTGTACCTAGATCCTCTAAGTTGTCGTATAATGATTCGCGGTGACGGTAATCAGGGTCGTAGTAGGCGCCGTCTCGTGTGGATGTCGGGTGACGATCTTGGTCGGAAGAGCGATGCTTGTGCTTGTGTTTGCGCCTCGAGTCGCGGTGGCTGCGCCGTTCTTCGCTGGTCCGATCCGACCTGTATCTCTTGGAAGTATGGTCATCGGTATCTTCGTCCTTGCTTTCGCTTTTGTGACGCTTTGAGCGATGTTTGGGCCCAGACTTGAAGTGAAATCGTGACGCTTTGGCCGTGGTGTAGAGGCTCTCCGCCGGTGGATCGCTAGCCTGCTCCTCCATGATGAGGACTATGGTGGTTTAATCGACATTCATGCATGAGTGATATTTGTACAAGGTGTGCGGTTTGACGTGTCTGCAGTCATTGCGAACCAAGGGACGTGGATTGCGGAGAAGGCGCGGAGGTGTCGATGATTTCACTGGTCGCGCGCGCCTTGGCATGCGACAGCCCAATTCGCGGTCGCGACTCTGACACCATCCCAACTCAACATCAACATGTCATTCAAATTCGGACTCAATGTGAAGAACAAGGGCGCGGATCCACTCGCGAAATCGGCCGCCAAGCCTTCTCTGGGGAAGAAGAAGAAGCCGCTGTTCGACGAAGAGGAGGAAGATGCGAAAGGCAAATCCAAAGCGACGGACGGCGCCCAGGAAATCGGCGAGCTGAACTTCGAAGACACTCTGGCCGCTATCTCATCAGAACCCTCGAAACCAGCGCCCTCAAAACCAAAGAAAGGCCAGCCTCCCGCTCCTCCGTCCAAGAAACCTAAGCCGAAAGAAGACGATCCCACCGCCATCGCGTACTCCGCCAGCGCTGCAGAAGCCGAGAAACGCGCACAGGAAGCTTTAGAAGCCGACGCCACCATATACGACTATGATGCTGCATACGACGCGCTCCACGCGGTCAGCGCCGCCAAAAAAGCTGCTGAACGCGACAGCGCCGCGGAACGGAAACCCAAGTACATGGATGCGCTCTTCGAATCCGCCGAACAACGTAAGAAGGACCAACTACGGGCACGCGACAAATTACTCCAGCGCGAACGTGAAGCCGAAGGCGACGAGTTTGCGGACAAGGAGAAGTTTGTGACCGGCGCATACAAAGCCCAACAAGAAGAGACGCGAAAGGCCGAAGAAGAAGAGAAGAAGCGGCAAGAGGCGGAGGAAGAGAAAAAGAAGAAGTTTGGTATGCAGGGCTTCCACAAACAGATGCTCGCGGAACAGGAACGACGGCATCAGGAGGCTATGGAAGCAGCGGCGCAAGCACTGAAGGATGGTGTGAAGCCCGTTGTTGAGGAGGGAGAGAAGGAAAAGACAGACGCTGAAATTGTCGAAGAGCTACGTAAACAGGGCAAGAACGTCATTCTCAACGAGGATGGGCAGATCGCGGACAAACGCCAGCTCCTCTCAGCAGGCCTCAACATCATTGCGAAACCCAAGCCCGCTTCATCTGCCTCTGCCTCCACCACTGCTGCAAACCAAACGCAATCAGCATGGACGAAACCCAAACCCGGCAAGAATGCACAACGCGAACGCCAGACCCAGATGGTAGCCGAGCAGATTGAAGCGGCGAACAAGCGGAAAGCAGATGAAGAAGCTGAGGAACAAGCGAAACTGGAGCATACACGCAAGAGTCAGAAGACAGAGAAGGACATCAGTAGTGCCAAGGAGAGGTATCTGCAGAGGAAGAGAGAGAAGGATGCTGCTGCTAAAGCTGCGGCTGGGAAGTGAAGTAGCGTTGTGATACCCAATATACATTCTTATGTGATTCTAAACAAGTGGTCTGAAGTCATCACACCCTCCTGAAACCCTACACCAGTACCACGCAGTAGCAAGGAGGCCGGGAACGCACCATACAATGCATTGAATACCAAAGCAACACTGAATCACTCCGCACCCCATCATCCATCTCATGCATCTCCACTATGGCACTAAAAAAATCAAATCCCATTGGCTCTAATTCACAAGCCTCTATCATCCCGTGAGCCTCTATGTCCGTTCGATAGCACGCGGCTCTCGGCGAATTGCACCAGAAAACGGTTCGATGGGTTCGACCAGCTTAGAGCTTCACATCATTCGGCCATCCTGCAGTCGATGGAAAAGGAAAGTGCCAGTCTTTCGACGGCTTCAAACATGCGAAGAGCCATCATAATGGCGGTGAAGCTGCCATGCTCAATGCAGGAAGTGTTGGCGAATCCCGTGAGGGTATCGTCCACAACGGGGATGTCGCTTGCTTAATCTCCAAGATGAAGGCAAGGTACCATTGTTCGCTGACGCGTCTAGTCTTGCGTTTAGCACATGTGACCGAGAGTAACGGTAGGACTGCGGCGATCGGCGAGGACCACTAATACTATGGTATACTCCAAAACTACAGCGTGGGGTTATGTAACGAGATCGAGATGAGCACGAAAAGAAGGTGTATAGAGGACGTCATGGACGAAGTGCGAATACTTCATCATTCGGCTCACCAGATACAGTAGCAGAAGAAAATGTTGTACCTAGGACTGTATGACTGCGCCATCGGCTCTGAGAAGCCAAATAAATCATATTATGCTCATGCCTTGTTCCTCAAGAAAGATAGATATGCCCCCCAATATTACCAGCCGTATCGATTCCCTGCTTCTCTCTTGTTGCGAGCACCGGCAGCAAAGTGGTCCTCCAGTGCATCTTTCTGAGTCGTCGCGACGTTGACCAGGCTGCGAAGACTATTCTTTCCAGTTCCAGATATAGATTTGAGCGGGTTATGCTGTACTGATTCGCCCTGTTGTCGTAGCTTCTCATTATGCGCGTACTCCATATCTGTGTTGAAATCCTGGATTTTGGCACCAGAGAAGTCTGGACCACCGCGTCCTTTCTTGCCGAAAAGTTGTCGGCGCTCTGCTTCTGACAAGTTCAACTCGGAAGCAATATTGGTGAGGTTATTCGGATCCTGTCCACCTGTTGAGGGAGGAGGGTATTGTGAATACTGATTTGCTGGGGGCATGTCATAGACGCCCTCTGTCGGGGCGACTTCCCCTCCTTCTTCCACACCGTAGAGTAGTGGCTGATAGTTCACATCTGACGTCTCTTTAGGAATGCTTTCTGCTTCATTGGAGACGCTGAAGAGAGAGACCTTGGGTTTGCGCGGCTTGGTTTCAGGAGGTGGTTGTTGCGATTGCGGCGTAGATGTTCTTGTGTTCGTCGCGGTGCTCGTCTCGTTCGTTGTGGATGCTGGTCGAGGTGCTGTGGGTTTCTTCTTCTTTCCTTTGCCGACAGACATAGGTACAAAACGTGGTGTCGCTGGCTTAAATACCTGCTGTGGCTCAGGTTCCACCTTCATCTCATGTTCCGTTATCTGAGGCTTGGTTTCTGTCTTTGTCTCGGATTTGGGTGTTGGCAAGTTGAGCATTGCGCGAAAGTCTTCCCTCTTCATAGGTTCCTTCTTTATCGGGTTGCCAGTCTCGTCATACTCCTCAGCCTCCACTTTTGACTCCCTCTTGAAAGCAGGCTCCGCGCCAGTCTTTAGATTTATTCCAGATGCGAGTCCTTTCCCCAGTCCTCTGCTTCCCGCCTTTGAACCCTCGGATGCTGTGATGGCGTTTACATTTGGTTTCTTTGGCGCGGGTAGCATTGCGTTGAAGCCACCAAATGACGAGCCCCCGCCCAGGCGCGGCTTCTTCGACGGTGGCGCATCATCTTGGATATCGTCTTTCTCCGATCGCGACTGCGACGCGCCTGGGAGGTTGACCTTGATCCGTCCTGGGTTGGAGCGATCGACGACTTTTTGGAAGGCGGGTTTCGCAGTGGGTTTCGCGACTATTCTCGGCGCGGGGGGCGCTTCACCATCAGATTCTGAATCGGAATAGCCGGCGAGTAGGTTCATTGTAGTTGGGTCGCGGTCGTCAAGAGGTTTGTGTTGGGCGCAAGAAGTCGCAAAGTTGACAATGATCTCACTGCACGCGCGCCTGGACAAGGGCCGATGCCAAGCCAGGGTCCAGGGCACGCATTCACATCCCCACATGCGTCACTGCGGCCTCGCTGCATGGCTTCATGATACCCTTTCAGCTGGTCTGAGCATACCCTTCTGTTACGAGACTATGATACCTTGACCTTCCCACCATGTCGCTCCTTCAGAACGAAGAGTAAGCCCACCTGCCCCCGTGGCGCACGCCGCAGCTAACTTGGGCAGCTTTGTGCTATATCAGCTTCGAACCGCGTACCTCTCCTCGATCAAAGACGGCGTAGGCGAACGATTGATCAATGTAGACTCGAGCGTCCTGAACAACCCCGCATTCCGCGCCGCAGGCTGGGTTCCCAATGCCGCCGACATCAAGCGCACCTACTCCCCACCCATACCCACCGCGATCACTTCGGAATACTTCCAGGCCCCGCGGTCAGCTGGCCTGAAGTCGCCAGAGGGCTTTGGCGAAGATGACGACGAGGGTGGCATGGTCACTGGAGGGGCAAGCAACGACACGGTCGGGCCTACGCTCAATGCGAAACGGAGGCGGAGGAAGGAACAGCTGGAAGAAGATGATAGCAGTGACTTGAGCGACGAGAGCGATGACGATGACGATGCGCAGAGGTAGCTGATCATCACGCGCTCCATGGACTGAACTGACGGATTGCTAGACCAGCCAACCAGATCAAGTTCACCAAGATGCCGCTACGGACGCGCTCAGGATCATCGCCCATGCCTGGATCAGCCCTACGCAATGAGCTGGCAGAAGCTGGAGAAGGCCCTTCACTCATGATCACGTCTCCATCACGGCCGCCGGACGACGTATTGCGAAGAGGATCATTGGGCACCGTAGAGGTGGGCAAAACCCGGCCAAGAAGGGACACCATAACTAGCAGTGAGATGTCTTCGGAGAACGAGTTTGACAATTCGTCATTCAGAAAGAGAAGAGTCAACCCGCGCAAGGCCGCAGGTGCGAGCCAAATGCTTTCCAAGCGCATCGAAGAAGACTCTGGGGAGGCTGGCGGCGCACGCGCACGCGCACGCCTGGAAGCTCTGGACGAAGGAGATGAATCAGATGACTCCCTCACATCCGAATTCTCTGGCTCCGACGATAGCGCGTCTCTCATCGGTGCAGGAGGTGATCCGCTGGACTCCTCTCCCGCAGGTGGCGACCTTCCCACCATGCCGGGCTTGACGCCTTTCCAAAACATGTCACCGAAGAAGAAGAAGGAGCCAATCGCACCAACATTACAAGCACTGCCACCGCCGCGACCCATCAGTTTCGTACTACCAGTGAGCGCGTTGACCCAAGCACTACGAGCCAAGGAGCAGAAGCCATCGAATCCGCTACAGCGCTTTGCCATGTGGAACGCTGCTAGTGAAGCTCAGCAGAATCCTTTATACATCAAACTTTACTGTCCATTCTCTTCGAAACCTTCAAAGCCTGTCGAGCTGCTGATCCGGAAGTTCAGTGACAAAGGTGAGGGTCCTACTGTCGCGGAAGCAATCGGGTATGCACTACATCGATATCAGGAAGAGAAGCTGGAACCGCCGCTATCGCCCGAACAGATGAATGTCAACCGCTGGGTCATGCGCATGTACGATGACGGCGAGGTTGACGACGAGTTCCCACCTTTGACCAGGAATAAGCCATTGAAAGACTTCGCTTCGAACAACGCCCGTGGTATGCGACCTCGAGCACGAGATAAGCCATGGGACGAGTTCGCACTTGTTGAGGCATCTCAACGAGAGTTTGGCGAGAACGAGAAGCTCACCCCGATTTACAGTCAAGAGGCAGCAAGTGCAGTCGCGTCGCAAACCGATGGCCCCGACGAGAAGGAAGAGAAGAAGCCCCTCAAGCCTCTTCCAAGTCGCGCGAAAAGCTTCAGGAATCCCATTACCGGCCCTTCGTTTGCGCCCACTGCGACGCGCAAAGATACCAGTAACCTTGCCGACGTACCAAAAGTCCCACAAACACATGCTGCTAGCCGCACGGGAGCCCCCAAGACAGTCAATGTCCACTTCACCGACGAGAATTTCAACACAAAACACTTCAACATACCCTGCACCACTGACACTTACATTGCTGACATCTTCGATCAAGTATGCCACGACTTGCGCTTAGAGAAAGCTTTGTATATCCTCAAAGTCAGCGGCAGCACTACGGTAGCGCCACCTGACCGCACTGTAGAGGCTCTAGACACACGGATGGATCTGGATCTTGTGCGTCGCCGTTTCGTGGGTGACGGTGTCTACGGGCTTTCGGGGTCGCCAGGGTCGTCATCACCCAACGCACCACTCATCATCAGTACCGGTGGTGCGCCAAAGAAGACAAAGAAGGGCGACCGAACCAACGCCGCTGTCTCTGGCCAAGGTCTCATCCATCCACTCGCCAGGAACGGCGACTCTGGTGCTTTGGCTCTCACAGCAACCAACTATTACCGCCGCTATGCCGTCCTTCGCAAACAGCCCATGTCCTTTGCCTCTTCTACATCTCGCATCATTGCTCTCGATAATGAGTACATCCATATCATGCCCGGAGAGTCCAAGACAGGAGCACGAGGTGGCTTTGGTGTTGAAGGCCAGGGCAAAACGACCACTGTGCATTTCAGCAGTGTAGTCGGTAGCAAGGTCAGCAAGAAGCATCCCAAGATGTTCCGGGTCATCGTCTTCAAGGAGCGCGAGACGAAGCGATATGACTTTGAAGCTCAGAGTACCAATGAGGCAGTGGAGATTGTCAGGGAGATCAAGAACGGTGTTGAGAGATTCTCGCAAGGCATCGTATGATTATGATGCCGTACAGCTGGACTACGATATGCATAGCTTTTGTCTTCTTGATATCAAATTTGGGATGGATGCGATGGTGTTCTCGCCGATATCGATTTTCAAGCGTGGGTGGTTTTAAAATGGCGTTTGATTTGCGATTGCAACTTTGGTCTGCTCAAGGGAAGATACCTCAAATACATAGATATCCTGCTGATGTATATATAAAGTCAACCTCTCGTTCACGGCAGATCTGGCGATGTTCCTAAAACTATGCTTAAGAGTATGCCTCACGTTCGAGTCTCAAATTGGTGAGACGGGCATTTGGGTCATCCCGTCGTTGTTAGGGTCAAAATTCCCATTTACATGTCTTTCTGAACTTCCGAGGAAGGATAACTTGAAAACCAATAGGTCGTTCTACGTTCCAGCAAAATAATCGCCACACGAAACATGAGGGTGGTATTGAATGGCGATAAAGCCTCCCAAGCATAACCACGCGCACTTTGAGTTTTGAAATCTGAGAGGAGACCGGCAATCTTTGTAGCTTCCCTGGTTTTACATCGAAATTGGATTTTGTAGATGGCAAGCGAAGAGTCGAACAGGAAGCTTCATAGCAAGCCGACAAGGCGTACACCACTACATGGCGGGATTGAGACCCGTTTTGGAAGATCATAACATGGCATCTCTTTACAGTAATGGCCCCGATGCGCCAAGAACGTGTGGCTCATGAGATGCAGTACTGTTGGTTTGAAAGTACCATAGAACACGTCGCGTGCGTGCGCGAGATGAGACAAACGATGGGAGTGACAGGATATAAAACCTCTTCATCCACATTGCTTGTCTTCCAACAAGTTACTCCAAAAATCAAAAACACCGTGGGGATCGTTCAAAAGAGTCCACGGACTGCACGATGTCTGTTCGAGATCCTCAGAACGAAAATAATACGAGGCCTGTCTTATGTCTGCACGCTTGAACTTGCTTCGTAAGACTCGGATTTCATCTCACAGAGCATGTACGCACTTTTTGTGAGAGTTCGAAATTGGAAAAGGCTTGAAAACGATGAGCCCCTCCATGATCCCGTGCAACCGACAATGGGTATCAAAGTTTAGCCCTGCAATCATCCGTCCCTTCTATGCTCGCACATATTGTCTCTTGTATACTAAAACACACATGGCCGGAAATCATGTCTTCACAAAACAGTAGCGTCAAGAGTGACATATCGGACTGTCTATTTCATTATATACATTTCCAAAAGGTTCAACTTCTACGACATGGCCTTCCCCAGTGCCCTACATACCCCAACTAAACTCATCCGCACCATTCGCCCACATACCAAAGATCTGAATAGGGAACTTATCCGCAATGTATTGGTATCCAGCCGGGCCAGGATGAAGATAATCACCCGAGTCGTACAACGGGTTGAGCTGACTGGGGATATTGGGGTCGGCAAGGAACTGGTCGAAATCCACAACGGCGTCGAAAACACCCGACGTGCGAATGAATGTGTTGATGCGCTGACGTGTCTTCTCGCGCTCGGGATCGGAGTAGGGTTGCTGGGTGAAATTGGCTGGCGCGCTGAACGGTGTGATGGTGGCGCCGAAGACGGGGATGCCGTGGGCGTGGATGAGGGTCACCATTTGTTCGTATGCTTGAGTCAGACCTTGGTAGACTTGTTCTTGTGCTCCAGGCGTTGTCGCTGCGGTTCCAATATCGTTTACTCCTTCGAAAATCATGGCGTATTTGACACCCGGATGGGCGAGGACGTCGCGGTCGATGCGACCGAAAGCGTTGGGACCGAGACCGTCGGCTAGGATGCGGTTTCCGCCTGCGGCCAAGTTACCGGCTGAGATGTACTTGGTGGAGGGGTTCTTCTGGAGACGTGCAAGGAGGAGGTCGGGCCATCTGTTGTTCTGGTTGGTTGTAGATCCACGGCCGTCGGTGATCGAGTCGCCGACAATGAGAAGGGAGCCGACGCGTGGCTGTACCCAAGCTTCGATGGAGGAGAGGAAGTACCAATGCGCCACGGATTGTGTAGTAGAGTTGCTAATGTCTAGACTAGCCGAAGAGACTGCGTTGCCAAACTGGAACCAACTGGTTGTTCTGGAACCGGGGTGACTGGTGATGCTGTTGGTGGTTTGTCCGTTTGCAAGGTACATAGTGACAGTGATGATCTGCTGCGCCTTGATTTCGAAGTTGATGGGGTCGGACACTGCGAGTGCGCCATTTGGCACGCTAATACCATCCTTGCCTCCGAATGTTACTTTCTGGACGGTCTTGGGTTGAATCTGGTGGATGCCGGCGGTCTGGTTCAACGGAAGCGCGACTGTCACAGCGGTGATGGGAAGATTGGAGCCGCCAAACACGTTGGAGAATTTGAGACGGATTTGCTTGGCCGAAGTGGTCATGTACAGAGTCTGTCGAACTGTCGAGTTCACGAAGACTGCGCCTGTCTGGTTCTATATGATGTGTTAGTACAGAATCAGTGAAGACTTGATGGGTGGACGTACGAATGGAGCTGGAGGCAGGTTCGCAGGCTCGGTGAGCTGTGGCATTGATGCCCATGCATCGACCCAGTGGCCATTGGAAGGGTTAGGTCGAGTGGTGTGCTTGTCGGAAACCCTCTTCTCAACCTCAATGGCATGGCCCTGAACGGACACTGCAACGCCCACAAGGAGCACTGCTAACCTGGTGAAGATCATGCTGGTTCAATGCTCAATCGAAGGTTCAGAGAATGACAATCCTGCAGAGGAAAAGCGCTGGGGCTCATGCATGATTAATACTACATCGTGTACGGGCCCCAAATTACGGAGGTAGGGAAAGAAGAGAGGCTAAGCAGGAACACGAACATAGATCTGGTATGGCGCAGGAACCGATCTACAGGCTGTCCTGAAAGAGTATCTGGGGTGCCGTTAGCATGTGGGGATTTGCGGAGATGGTCGGGTAAATTGCGCGGGTGGAGGAAACCTGGTTGGTGGGCGCATTTCCTGCTTCGCCTTTTACCCATCGGCTGCAGAACCGCGTAAACTGCAATCGTGACGTTACTGCGCGCTATTCGGGCCGCGGGCACAATTGTTCCGTTAGCGACAGGAATGGGGGAAGAAGAAGCGAGTGGGAAGAATCATGCATCCGTATTCATTGGTATCGTGGTCCATGCAACAACAAAGTAACGCCGCCCATGCAATGCCCGGGAGATAGTTAACGCCTGACAACCTGAAGGGTCGTCTTGATATGTCGTACCCGGCTGTGAAATGGAGTCAGCCAGACGTGCGACTGCAGAAAGAAAACTGTGGCGCCCGTCCATGTGAGACGGCAACCGTGTATCTGATCATGGCTAGGTGGGTGCCAGAAGGTGGAAACCTGGCGACATGAGCTCCCCCTAATATCGAGAAGACGTCGAGGTCCGTCACTACCGGCGCGCTCAGACTCAGAAGTCGTCATCGCTCTCTGCCTTCTTCTTTTTCCGGCTTGTCGTCTTCTTCTTCTTGCCATCCACGTCCATGTCGCCCTCACTCTTCTCGGGCGCGTCGGCGACCTTGGACACGATCTCGTTGAGGAAGTCGAAGCGGTCGGTCTTGGTGATGGCTTGCTTGAGGTGGATGGAGCCGACGCGCTTGGAGTTGCGCGCTTTGGCTTCGGCGGCGGCTTTGGTGACGAGGGAGATCATGAAGAGCTCGAGCGCTTTCGCTGTGGAGAGTCAGCCATGGTGGAGAAAGTGGCGCGCGGGCAGTACGTACAAACGACGACGGGCGTGACCTGGGCGACCTTGCCGACATCGTCGTCGGCCTGCATGATGCGCTTTATGCGGGCGACGGGGAAGTGGTTCTTGATGGTGATGTTGTCCGTGTTGGGCGTGTCTGCCCCGCCTACGCCATTGCTCGCGTCTGGCATGGCGGGCACTGACGCGTCGGGCAAGTAGTCTGCATCCTGCATGCTCTCCTCCTTCTTGACGCCGCGAGGCATACGAGGCGGTGGCGCAGGGTCGCTCTGCAGCGGCGGATCGGTCGTGGGCGGTGGGAGGGCGGCGCAACGTTGTCGAGGGGGCCGCGGTGTCCTGGATGCTGGGGGTGAGTCGCTGTAGGCTGCTCGGCGTAGTACGAGCAAGATAAATCTGGCAACGGTGGAGCCCACCTGCCGTCCATTGGCCGGCGTGGGGCCCGTGCTCATGGCGCCTCTGCGACAAAACCACACGTCTGTTCCAAGCTTCTCTCTCCAGCCTCGTCACGTCCATCGTTCCGTTCCAGGGCCGGTGGATGCGCGTCGCCAGCAGTGGATGACGACACGAGCACGCCAGAGACCTCTCCGCCTTGTACAAACAGCATCGTGGTGCCTGCTCCGGTTCGCAACGACGAAACCCGACCCCAGTCGCCTGAGGCCGTGGTTGATCGGCGCGCCGGCGCAGAGTCGCTGATGGTGTAATTACTTGATCTAATCTGACACTCTGCCGCGCTTCTTTGTTGACGAGGCGTCTTGACCTGACCACGCTTCGGCTGGTCTGTCGCGTCCCCTGGCTTCGCACGCCGATGCTGGGCGTCGCATATACACAATACACATACCATACACCTCACACGCCTCATGTGTCTTTTGTGATGCTGCCATCCCTTTTGTGCCCCTCTCTGCCCGGGCCTTCTCTCAGCCATGTCTCTGCGAGGCCGTTCTTCGGGTCGTCTTCAGGGTAGCCTCGCTGCCGCCTAACGTCCAGAACCGCCTGTCGTATCCGCCGCGTGCACTCTTTGCGTATGCTGACGGCCTCGTCGGAATATTTCAGCGCATCATTGAGAACACCGACTTGCAGCTTTCCTCCCTTCCTCTCCTCGTTTGCACGCATCTGTTTCCAGCGTGCGCGCAAGTCGCCGAACACCTCCTCAGCATCCAGCTTCTCGCCAAATGTCACCCTGACGTTCTGGAACGGCCGTGGTATAAAGCGCGGGAAGGTGCGTGTCTCGTGCATGATGTTGTCGAAGCCTTCAATGAAGATTGGAACAATGTCTGGCATCGGCTCACTCTCAAGTACCAATCGTGACACTCCCCACTTGAAGTAGCGCATGATCCTGTCTTCCGTCTGGTGTATCATGCCTTCAGGGAAGATGTGCACCCACGCGTGCCGCCGATTAAGGTATGCCGAGGGCGCAGGAAATGTATCCTGTCCGTTTGTAGAGAATGTGAGGTGGCCGTCGGTAAAAGGATCGATGAGGTCTGGGCTCTTGAGCGATGTGGTAGGCTTTTCTGGTGGTTCTTGATCGTGGAACGGGCCGTGTGAAAGAAGACGGATCGCTTGCGTTACGGTGGGTTGGAATAGGCCGCCGAATTGGGAATGCGCCGAACGATGTGTGGGTAGAACTTGTCCAAAGGTAAAGAATGTCGACAGTCCTCTGCTTGGGCGTCAGCCGAGCTTTCTGTGCATTTCAGAGGTGACATACTTGTTGGTGAAGCATAGATCATAACTGCCTAATCCCCAGCGCAGATTGTCTGGGGTGAATATGTAGGCGAGTGGTAGTATGCCCCATAGTATGGGATCATCCATTCTGTAAAGATTGTGTAAGCGCAGTCCATCCATGACGATTCGGAGATTATGGCAAACGTACGTACACAGAGATGTGGTTCGAGACTGCACGCTCGTCAGTACTGAGCATTTCCTGGGTTTTTGATAGTACAAGCACTTACCAGTTATGAGGCCTCGTTGCCTACTCGCTGGATCCTCTCTTTCATCCAACAGCTTCAGGAAGCCCTCCATTCCATGCGTCTCAACCTTGCTTAGTCCATTCAGGAATCCTTTGCACAAGAGCCCGACAGCGCCCATGGTGAAGGCCGACGCGGCGCGCCATGGCCCGCTGGGGGCCTCCGGCTGCTCCTCTGGTCGCATTGGTGTAGGCGTGGGGTTGAGGGCGACATGTGAAGATTTCGCGCTCAATAGCTGGATGCCGCGGCCCACCAACGTCACTGCCAGGGACCGGCATTTTGGCGACACTGCTAGCGCGATTGCGGCCTGCACGTGCGCCAAGTGGATGGCTCTTCCGCTTCAACACGCCTTCTTCCATCACCACAGCAAGAGCTCGACACTTTACAAGACTAAGCTTGGACTTGCGAGTCTTGTGCATCATCCTCAGAGCTTGGACACGGGATCCCATAGCTGCGCCTGGCACTGTTGCTCGGATTGACCTACCTGCTGAGTCCATCACGAAAAGTCGCGTCCCGATTTGCGAATCTTGAATGCTGAACCTAGCAACATGCCGCCTCCAAAGACCATATTCACGTCATACGAGCGGAATGCCCTCAAAGATCGATGGGGCTCACAGGCTACGCGTCTGACCCGTGACTCATTTCTACCTTTTGGCTCCTGCCAACTATGTCTCCTTCCTTCAGTAGACCCAGTGTGCTGTTCACAAGGCGATCTGTTCTGTCGCGAGTGCGCCATGACCAATCTTCTGGCGCAACGAAAGGAAATGAAGCGACTAGAGAAGCTGAACGAGCGCCAGAAGTTGGAGGACGAGGACCAAAAGCTGCGAGAAGAGGAGGAAGCGCGGCTGCTGGCAGTCGAGGAATTCGAAGCTGTTCAGATGGGGCTTTCGGTCAAAGCAGGTGCATCAGCACGAGTCGTTGGAAGGCAAGGCAGCAAGATCATGGTCGAAGAAGAGCAGGATGCCAAGGCTGGACAGGCCAGAGGCACGAAACGCAAGTTCGAAATTGACCAAGAGGAACTCAAGCGCATCGCACAAGAAGAGCAGAGCAAAGCAAAACGCACGTTCGACGCCGAGCGCAAAGCAGCCAAGGGTCATCTCCCCAGTTTTTGGGTTCCCGGCGAGACACCCGACCAACACCACAAAAGCGTAGAGAAGGCGAAGCAAACGCCTGTATGCCCGTCAAGCCACCCAGACCAACTGCACAGCCTGTCGCTGAAGAGCTTAACGAGCGTCAACTTCCACGAAGAAAAGTCGTCCGAGACGGGGAAATCGGCTCGCACGTGTCCCAGCTGTCAAAAAGCGCTCTCAAACAGTACGAAAGCCATGCTCGCTATACCTTGTGGTCACGTCCTATGCAAACCATGCGTTGATAAGTTTCTCCGGCCAGAACATCGCCATCAGCGAGATGCACATGATCAAGGACCGGAGCCCGAGACTGTGCATTGTTATGTATGCGATGCGGATCTTACGACAGCTCCAGACGCCAAGGAAGGCAAGAAGAAGAAAAAGGACAGCGAGAAAGAAAAGGCGCCCAAGCCTGGTCTTGTGGAGATAAGGAGTGAAGGTACCGGGTTTGCAAGTGGTGGAAAGGCGATGGTCAAGAGAGAAGGAGTGGCATTTCAAGTATAACAAGTCTTTTCTGATCGGCCGAACTACGGGCGCGATGACGAAAGGCCAGCCAGCATAGACTGCTAGTGCTTGAATGGTAGACCTCACGGTGTACATATACTTCCGATATATCTGCTTTGTGAGGCTCCTTGCTGGACAATGGCGATCACACACTCCACAATTTTATTCGAAGTTTTTTTTAGACGGCGGCGGGATTACCAAAGTCTGCAGTAAGAGCTTGGAAGACGGAACCGTATTGGATTTCGGTCTGGCGTCATGTACTCAACAGTCACCGTTCTCGAACGCGATAGCCATCGCCCGGGCGAAGAGTTACATGTTCATCACACCCAATACGGAAATTCGGAGTCCACACACTGGCTAAGTGCAGCGTGTTTCCATCTCGCTGCCATTATATGAACAGGGCTTAGTATACTTAGGTAGTTGGAAGACTGGTAGGAAATTACCCAATTGTGCAAGGGCGAGAAAGCCACGCCGCTGTGCTGGGTCTCCATTATCGGTAATTTCCTTGCATCTCCCAACTCTGGGCATTATTGTTTCAAACGCGATCGATATGTTGTCAGGCAGTCTCGCCAATGATGCGCTGCTGCTGGTGTGTAGGTATGTTTGCGCCGTTTCACCGTATGCGGGAAAGAGCTCATCACCCACTCACAAGCCCCACTCTAGCGTGATTGCCAATACAGTCAGGGTCGATGTGCAGGATGAGCCGACTGTCCCCTATCAGGAACGAGGGATCCTACGAGCTGAACGCGCGCCGTGCGGGTGTGAAATGAGTGAAAGGTTTCCGGAGAATCTTTCGTTTGCGCCGCTAAGAAAGTTTTTAAACTTGCTCACCACGGGTTTTGTATTTGAACTCTCTGCGACAGCCGGAATCACAGCCGGAATCAATCTCTTCGCACGCGATTCTCTACCCTGCGTTCCGAACAGCATGTTCAAAATCGTGTTGTTCAGTACGCTGTATGCTTACTTCGAGGGGCTTTGCAAGCAGTACCGCGAAACTCTGTCGGTATGTTTTTTCCGCACGGTTGACTCAACGCCGCTCGACACTCGACATTCAATGTCAACTATACTCACATCTTATCAGGGCTTCAAACTCATTAGGCCGTTCTTCAAACCATCCTTCGCTGTGCCGAATGAGCAGTCTGTACCGCCGATCCGAGAGAACTGGTGTAAGATCTCCCCTCCTCATGTCCAGTATGCAAGACGCGTACTCATCCTCCAATCCGTAGACTATCCCGCCGATATCGCCAACGATCTCAAGGACTTCGACCATCCACGGCGCATCAAGGAAGAAGTATATGCATGCGCATGGGAGTACGCACGCTGCGTGATTCCTCAATACACCAATTGGAATCGCTATGTGGCCTTCATGCGTGTCATTGTCATCGGTATCGTCGCAGAGTGCAAAGGCGACTTGGTACAGGTGTCACTTGGCGACAATCTTCTGGGCTACAACCTCACTGCTCTTCTCGACGAACTCTTTCAGGGCACAACTGAACAGTAAGCTGACCCGTTCTCGAATCTCACAGACTGACACTGATGTCATCCTGTCTAGATGCAGTGCGGCCATGGCTCGCGAGTTCCGCTGCTTCCTTCTCATTACAGCAGACAAAGCAAGCAAACGCCGTGAAGGCCTGTTGTTCAGACGTTACGTTACCGCCCTTGCCAAGTCGCCTCGACAATGGTTCCGCATGCGCGACACAGATGCTCTGATCCGCTTTACCATGGGCGCAGCTCTGGTCTGTAACGATCTCGATGACGTACACTATACCGAAGAACAGTTCGAGGCTTTGGATGAACTCGGCGCCACTCTCTACGACAGTGTAGCCTTCTACAAACACCGGTCCGAGGGCGAGACAGTGAGTGATATCTGATCAAACGTGATGCGATGGACACGGACTGACCTGAGACTTTTAGAACTCCACGTTCGCATACGCACCTACCAACATCCGTATCAAGGCTTTCCACCAGTCCCGTGAGTTGCTCTGGGCTCTCGATGTTGCTTGGGCGGGCAAGCGAGAACACATGGTTATAATCAATTTCTTAAGATTTTTCGGTGGTCCTATACACATGAGTAGGCTGATATTTCCATTCCCCGTAACGTACCGTTACTAACAAAGTTCTTTAGTGATGCGTCGCTACCGGTTCATCGAAGATGGAATGATGATCGGCCGGCCTGAGACTACCACCGTCATTACACAAGCACGCCAACAGTTCAAGCTCTGGAACCGCGTCGACATGCAGGATGGCGATGCCAAGGACGTCGAGCGCTACAACCACTTAATGGCGAGAAGTGATGAGCTCATGTTCGACGGCCTACGCGAGTTCCTCGACGCGAGCAACGACGATACTTGTAAGGGCTGTCAGTACCGTGAGACACATGGTGGACATACTTCTTTCTCGTTTGGTGGAATAAAGCTATGCGACGGCTGCAAGGAGTCTTGGGGTGCGTACGTCGAGTCTTTCTCGGCTCGGTTCGCGGATGTGTTTCCGGAGATCAGAAACGTGATGACAGCTTGAGTCGGGTATTGAGTCGATCAGACACATGAAGCACGGAAACCGGCTTTCATCAATTGCGGGATGAGCTAAAACTCACAACGGTGTTACTGTAACTATCCATTGACTATTCCACGCCAACCTCGGGAAAAACCGAACAGCCTGGAGCCTACGTTGACGTTAGGTCACCTACTTTGCAAGGTTATGGGTCAATGTAGTCTGCAGACATGTTCAATTTTTTTCTTGTATAAGGTGATTCAATCAAAAACACTCCCGCGACTCCACTTGCTTGCCCTCCTGATCCTCTTGCCGTATATGTAGAACACGAAAGGCACTGGAATTAGCAGTGCCGCGAATCCACCAGTGATACTACTCGCGGGACCTACTCCAACGTTGTGATACAGCGGCGTCACCACCAATGGGAAAGCGCCCGCAAAGGCGCTTCGAAGAAAAGTGTTTGCTGCGACTGCACTCGCAGCATACAACGTGAATGTGTCGACCAGGTAGTTCAGGGCAGCTTGGAATATCGTGAAGAAACCAGTTCCCAGCAACACCAGCCCAATGACGGGAGCAATCCAATGGTATTGAGGGTCCGCTGTCCAGCCCATGATGAACTGACCGGCGGAGAAGAGTACAGAGCCGAGCATCATTGGTGGCAGACGTGCTTCAGGAACGGCACGATTTCCAGCTGCACGGTAGACTTTGTTGTAAAGAAGTTGGTTGTAGGCGTTAATGCTGCAGCCGATGATTGCGCCAACCAAGATACCCAGGAAAGGCAGCGTTGCGCTTACTGCTGGCCATCCCCTCATTTCGCCAAAAATTATGGGAATGCCTGAACGTGTCAGTACGTGTCTCACATGCACTTCGTATAGCGATATCTCTTACCTCCCAGCATCATGTATAGAATTCCGTAGCAGAAGCTAGCGTAGAGTGCGACAAGAAAACAGATAGGTGTCATCAGAAGCTGCAACGGCCGGAGCAGGAACTTCTTAGACAATTCTTTGATGCTGACATCCCACTCCTCGAACTTGGTGTGAAGGGCCCAGTTGCCGGTTTCGTGTCGCAGGCGACGTGCTTTGTAGACGAGGAGTTTCGGTGGGTAGCATTCGTCGATGAAAATTATGTCGATGAACAGGATGGTAGCCTGAAGTATACCAGTGAAGTATTCGGTCCACCGCCAGCCAAGTGATGGATTGGCGACAAAAGCTGCGGAGACAATTGGCCCTAGACAAGGGCCGCCAACGACCGCCATAGCGTAACCTGCCATGGCTAAGGCCCTCCATGCCGGACTATACAGATCGCCCAACACACCACCGGTATTCGTGACTGGTGCGCTAGCAAAGAAGGCACCGAAAAACCTTGTGATCATCAGTGTCTGGAAGTCCTTTGCTACGGCACTACCGAAGCTAAAGCAGATTGCAATGAACATGGGCGTTAAAACTGCCAAACGTCTCCCGTAGACTTCGGAGAGGGGAGCCCAGAGAAGCGGACCAAGTCCAAATCCGAACAGGAAGAGCGTAGTGCCCAACACCGCGACCTGGTTTCCTACGTCGAACTCGGCTGCTATCTGTCGCGTACCTGCAGAATATGCAGAAGAAGCCCATGTCGCGCTCATAGTCGTGAGGCCATACATCATGGTCGTTGTGATCTTCTTCTTTGTGGGCCAGTTCATCGGGCGATAAGGATCGTCGTCGCCCTCAAAATCTACTAGCACATCTGCAGTGGTCTGCTGGTGCGCCAGAGGATGGGAAAATGGCGCAACATTCGGTCGTGTACGTATTCGTGAAAGTGCGGTGTCGCGTCTAGATATTGTCCGGCTCAAAGGCTGATTCATACCACTTGCCGTGGCTGTCGCTCTTCTGTCTCTTGGTAGACTGCGTCTGCTGCGTGATCGCGAAATGCTTTCTTGAAGTTCTCTTCCGGATGGACGGTGGCCGTCATGGTCGGCATCCTTCTCTTCCTCATACTCCGACGATGAATCGGATGTTGACTCGCTCCGCTGTCTTGGTCTTGATCGCCTTCCACTCTCAAGATCTACGTCGGTGTTTGATGTCGAAGTGGGATTCGTGTCTGATGATCGTTCGTCTTTAGAATCCATGATTCCAGTAGTTCATATCTTGTCGCCTTTCTCAACGGTTTATTCTGGGATGCTTAAATATAAACTACGATCCCTATTCTAGGTGCAGCTCCGTGGCTCGAAGAATGAGAAAGATTGCCGGAAACGTGGCAAGTGCCGGACGCCTTTATGATGCTAAAGCCGTCAGCAACAATAGAGCGAGGAACTGATAGAACATCAGTAACACTAAGCAATGACAGATGCCACAAAAATCTACTATCGCTGGGTATCTCCGGTCGATATGACGTAGATTTTGCGTACTAATGAGCTGCGCTAACCTCGAACGGTATAGTCCACGGGTACATTCATTGCTCGGCCTTCTCGAGGTGTTATTCCCAGACCTCAGTTCGGATAAATCTCCGGCTGACAGATTTTCAACAAGTATCGCTCG